TATATATATATATATATATATATATATATATATATATATATATATATATATATTTTATGGACGAAGAATTGGACAATACGAGTTGGGGGAGGGAAAGCGTGTCATCTTTATCTCCATAGCGAGTGAGGTATGTAGATAGCCAAATCTCTGACGAAATGAGGTGGTCCGAGACTGGTTAGTGGTCACGAGCTCCGGTGGCTTGCTGACCTCCGACTCCGAGGACCAAAGGAGCCACCAAAAGCGTCTCCCTCAAAAGACGGAAGAGTACTCATACGAAGCAGTAGTAGTTGCTCGACGTGGAGAGAAGCCTTCCTCACGAACTCGAGTTCGCATGAAGCAGCAGTTCTTTCTTGACGTGGAGAGAAGCCCACCTTGCACGCTTCTCCACAGTTCACATCCATTTCTACCTTTGCATCCGATGCCATGATTTCTCTTCTCGACCTTTTATCTATCCTTTTATGGGCCACAAGAGGATGGGATTGGCCAGCTGCCCTCCGGGCCCGCGTGTCCCTCCGATCCCCATGCTCCTCCACTGCTGCTCATCCCCGTCCTTCGCCTTTAAAGGCTACCATGGCCAACCAAAGATGGATAAGACAACCAGGACGAGTTATTAGCCGATACATAGGAGATATGGTGTGAGGATTCGGACTCTCTCTCTCTCTCTCTCTCTCAGTGGGTACTTTATAGCGTAAGGTCCAGAAGGCCATGGAAGTGGAAGACGATGTCTTCTTTGCAGATCTAAGCAAGCGGATGGCGCTGCTAATCATGGAGGACGAGGAAGAATCCCCGGCGCAGTGTCCGACGCTTCCGGTTCAGGTTGGTCACCAGTTTCCTCACTGCTCTCTGCAGCCATGACTAATGAGACTTTGCTCTGCTACGGCGAGCCTTTCTCCCTTCTCTTTCTTGGTTTGCTCCGATCTTAGTTTTATTGATCGTTCAAAACTAAGTTTGACGAATCATTTAGTAAAATAAATATTTTTATTCATGAATAATTAAATATCATTTTGTTAAAATAATATAAATATATATTAAGAGATTTACGAATGTAATAAGAAGTAAGCAAAAATGAAATAATAATTATTATTAGTGGTACTAATAAGAGAAGACACAAGAAAAAAAAAATCTAAAAATATTTTAATTAATATTCTAATTAAAGATTTAAAACTTTTTTAACTTAATTAGATGACCCCTCCCCCAATAATTTAATTGAGAGATGCTACTTATACATATCTAAAAATACAAGATGAAATAATTATTAGAAAAAATCTAAAAATATTTTAGTAAAAAATTATAATTAAATATCTAAAAATTCCTAACTTAATTAATAATTAAATTGATAGATTGGTGTTATCCTAAGGATGTACTATATTTCGCATGCCACACTTGTCCCCACTAATCATGCTGCTACTAGTATTGCTGCCATCCAATTTCCAGATTGGAATCATTCATTCCTATTGGAGCTGTGTACAATAATTGAAGAGGATATTAAATTTGATGCTGTAGTCACTACACAACTTTTCTCTTGCTTGTCACTTGGTGATAAGTACCATCAGCTGGTTTTGGATGCATGAGTCCATGACATGGTGCTGCTGGTAGGTGGATCACAGAGAAATGCTGCACACCACCTGTTTGATGGAATGTTTTACAATGGCTTACTTTCATGCTGTTTCCTTCAGGAGCTTCCTTACATGCCCCAGATGTTGATGCTACCACCACACACCAACGAGGTGGCCTACAGAAGAAGGGAGAGCAAAGGAACAGGAGTCTTCATCCCACTCTCTGCTGCACCAGGAAGGAAGAACAGGTCAAAGAGATCCACTGCAGTGGAGGACAGCAGCAACCCCCAAAGGCAGCAGCTGGGCAAATCTGTTGCAGCAGTGGCTTCTCATGCCACCGATGCCGATCTCATCTACCCACATCAGTGCAGTAAGTCGAGTGTGTTGAAGAGGCAGTGCATGTAGGAGTATCAAATGGTCTGTAGCTCACACCAACTGCAGTTTGGGTCTTGTATGGTGCTGTGTACAGAACAATTACTCTCGTGAAGAGGGTTTAAAATAAGCCTCTAACCTCTTCAGTGAAGTGTATAATTCTTCCTTGGAATGCATTATTTGGTGTGAATGTAAAGCATGAAAATAATCATGTTTTTGAGATGCTGTTAATGCGCGATGACGACATTCTTATTACATCAAATTATATGTTGTCACTATCAGACTTAGATAGGAACACTTATCCATTGACCCTAAGTGGTAGTAAATGTATCGAGTCGTATTTATAAGCCAATTTAAATCTTTGCCCACTTCTGAAATAGAATTAAATTGGGATATGACCGTCCCTTTCATCTAAGGCTGATATCCTCGTAAGGATAAGCATAGTTCGAAGGCAAAAATGTAATATAGCGTACATGAAGTCTAATATAAATATGTCCCGTCGTCGTTTAGTCATTCGTTCATGGATAATTCTTTCTTACTCTAGTTTAATATTATATCATTCTAATATCATTTGTTATGACTTTAGATAAGATAAATAACTAATTAAATTATTGAACTAATGAGCTCCCTTTTAGACTAATCAAACTAACGTTCAGTTAAATTAGAAGGTCAGAACCAACCTAATGAAGCTTTATTTCTCTTGGATTCTAATATAAAAGCATATATATATATATTAATTTTCATACATACAATAATAATAATAATAATGATGATAATTTTAGAAGCATTTGATTATGATATTTACAAAAGACTCAAAGGAAACAAAATGCCACAGTTGTTATGAGGTGATTATCTTTCATATAACAACGATCGCAAGAATGCCAGTGTTAAGTTTCATCATTATTCATCTCGTAAAAGAATCATAATTTGAAAATATATCTTCACTCATATAAAAAACTATTTTGGCTAATAATGTTCGACACAATTATGATATTAAATATTATATTCATCGAAATTTATTTATGGGGATATAATGGCTCTAAAGAGACTTCATTATAGTTGCTAAAGTGGCCTTTCATAATTGTGCTGCTTTTCATAGCAAAGCATATGATGTATTACAATTATGACCGATATATTATGATGGTTTTCTATAAATCTCAATCACGATAAAAAGGTACACATAGCCGATTCCAAATAATTAAAAAAATAACAGTCTTATTATTATTATTATTATTATTATATCAATATATAAAATAATATATCGAATTGTACCATCAGATATTATTAAAAAACAAATATAAAATTAAAATGACAAAAGAGCAATTTTTGCTTCGGTGTGGAAGCATATGGGCCAGAATATAATCACATGCACATGCACATGCACAGCCACATTATATCCACATCATTTGCATTGGAGTCCCACATTGATTGATGTGGGACTGCCTAAACTTTCGTCTTCATTATTCTTTGCAGATTTAATATAGAGGATACCTGTTAACATCAGACAAGGATCAAGTTCTCTCTCTCTCTCACTCACTCTCTCTCTCTATATATATAGAGATAAAAGCTAACAGGAGCATTGTCATGTGAACCAAGAAGAGACACCACCAACAAAAAGGGAGACATGAAATGAATGGCTTTACAAACAACATAGTGCAGCTATGGATTGATCAACTCTACTGAATATAGAACATTAATTCAACCACTATAAACCAATCACATATTTCTTGATTTTTTTTTCCTAGAGAGGAACAAAGTGAATGCAAGTTAAAAGATAGTCACGGTGTAATAAGATTCTTAGTTCAAAGCTTGGCTTAAGGAATGCTCAAATCTGATATGACTCGAGGCAGGATTACAAGTATAATGACAACATTTGGAGTAAACGATAAATTTTCTCACCTTAAAGGGGTAAACTACTTGGCCAGATCAGTCCTCAAAATCAGATCATCGATGATACATGCAAGCCACGGAGAACCACATCACTCCTATGAGTAGACTTCTTCCATGATTGAACTTGCTGCTCTCTCAAGGCATTATGGTGATACCAAAATTTAAATTATCGTGATGACAGGCAACCGAAACAGAATCATCGCTCTTCTGATTTGATTGAGACTCCCTTGTACAATCGGACACGTTCTCTCAAGGCATCTCGTCGTGGCCGTGCTATCTTGTTGTTTGGATCAAGAAGAAGCACCTCCTCAAATGCTTTTAGAGCAGCTCTCAGGTCCTTTTTCTTTTCATATGCATCGCCTAGGTTGTTCCATGCGGTGGCATAGCCGGGTTGAAGCTTCACTGCCTTCTCGAATTGTGCAATACCTTTGTCCAGTTTGTCATCTCGGATGTAACTCACTCCAAGAGCATTATACACCTGTCAAATAAGAGGGAAGTTTATAAGAAAACTAGTACAATAGGCAATAAAAATGTAGCTGGACAGAAGAAACAAACATAATCTATTTCAACATTTTTCTTTTCAACTTATTAGAGTAATGGGACCAATAGCAATATCCAAACATCATCTGCAAACTGTTCAGGATCTTACTGATAACAGTATAGTGCTGCAGTCTGAACAGTGGGACTTCTATGAAAATTGAATGGTAGAGATTGAACAAATTCTGGCAGACCAAGACCAAGATGGGAGATTATCATCTTTACACGTGCAGGCTGTGTGCCTACAAACATATACTAAATCTAAGAACTTAAATCTTGATCACATGGATTGTGAAACCACCTGGACCAACACAGCATGGGTAATACTTATCGGTCCAGCCAGTAGACGAGACATGGACTGGTACATTGCATTCATTCTCAAACACCATAGAATTTAATTCTGTAACGAATTATGTCACACCATCTTGAGTCCAAAATGTTGTTGAAAATTTAGATGATGATTAGGACAGCCAGGTTATGAATAATGGAAATGGCAACAAATTTTTTGTGACTCGTTTTAATGCTGTTGCACTATAAGTAGTTGAAAGTTGAAACAACTTTGCCATCGTAAGGAGAGCATCACATGTATATACTTGGACTTCACAATCGTGAGGAGTGCAATGCATGTACAATTTCACATTTTTCACTAATTAGCATCAATAGCTTGAGGTAACCAAGACAAGTAAATTGGCATACATAGAAGCCTCCCACTGTTTCTTGCCCTGTTCGGTTTATAAAGCAATTCACCAAGCCATTTTAACAGGAAATGCCTTATCAATTAGTCATCTCTAAAGTTCCATCATGCACGACATCAATTTTTTATAGAAGTCTTTTAATCAGTTAAAAATTACTTTAAAATTTATGAGGAGAAAGGACATGAGGAGATATTATACCAGATGATCCAGAAAAAATGTGCTCATTGGATCTAGGATAAATACACAACAATAACAACTTTATGCTCCTGCCAGAACAATAAATATAAGGGATAAAAGGAATTCCATAAATTGCCAAAAATGATTACAAACATCTAACCTGAGCTAGATCCTGATCTTCTCTATCCCATTTCTCAATTGCTTGCAACAAATATTTGGTAGCTGCTGGGTAGAACTTTCTCCTAAGCATAACAGCACCAAGTTCAAAATATTCTGTTGCTGTTGCATCACCACTTCGGACTTGCTCCTGCAGATTATAAAATCTGAATTTACAGCATCAATCTTCGTTGTATGATTTAGGAAAAGAAAATACTCCCAAGTACAAAAATCTACAATCTTAGTGCAATATAAAAGAAGTGTTCCATATTTTAGCAGAAGACAAGAAAATGGAAAAGAAACAATGGCAAACAAAGTGGATGACTAACAAATCAGTAAGTTGTACAGCTTTTTCTGCAGTGATACAAAATACATGTTTTACATCAATTTAGGAATCCTAAGATAGTACTGTACTAAAACTGCACTCTCATGCTCATACTCGGAGGAACCACCAAATCCACGCTGGGTATCTCATGGCATCCTCGTGGGATGCTCAAATAATCAATGAATCCTAGACTTGTGAGCCCGCCTATTGAGTGACTTTGAACTAACCACAAATTTGACTTTAAAGTTTGGATATACCTTGGATTACAGAACTATGACGTTGTTCTCTTAAACTTGAATCTTGATTTGCTAATATTTACAGGTTTGGATGAAAGATTGAGAAAGATAGAAAGAGTTTAAGTCTTTAAGAGATAGTAAATGAAAGAGGGGAGTGAATGAGGGGTCTAAAGTAGGAAGATAAAAAAAAGATGGGAAATATTTGATCAGTTGGTCGACTTACTACCCAGTATACATGTGCATACTGGCTAGTTACTGCATGATATGCATTGGTATATGTGTCGAGCGGTATAGCTCATATTGGGACCAAATTGGTTAAAATCACATGATCCACGCACAGGTTGGCTGTTGGATCGGTGAATATTTATCTATATCAACTGGTATGACCGTATTTGAATCAATCGTATTTATTTTTTGTGAAGTGACCTACGTACATATATACCTTCTAATTCAATCCCAACCAAATGCAGTCTGCTTGGATTTCAACAATTCCTTGACAGATTACTGGGCAGTGTTGCCATAACACTCTCATAATACATATACGGATTGGTTATTGACCAAAAGATAGTCTTGTGCTAAGAAGTTCCAGAAAAGTTGATGTAAAGTTTAGTTTAATATTTATTGTTAAAAAATGTAATAACTAAAAGATAATATTTATGGAATTACTTTTGCTAAAAGTTATCTATACTTTTTCCCAAGGTTCGTCGTACTGCAACATACCGTTCGGTACGGGTGATACATGCCGGTCCAATATGGGACCGATATGGGTAGTACATTAGTACGCTCCCATGTACCATGTGTCGGTATGCTTTGTATGACTTAGTAAAGCTCAATACGTACCATACCGATAGTTGGTCGGTATATCGGTACGGATCGATAAGACGAACCATGCTTTTTCCTTTAACCACTACCTTGTAACAAAATTTGTCAAAGTTCATTGAGTTTCTTATTTCACTCCTAGGTCAAGTATTATGCTAGCTGACCAAACAATTCCTACTTCCTCTCCAACCATGGATAAAAAAATAAAATTACATTATAGCATTTTTTTTCCAATAATCAATCACGTCAAAATAATTCTTACCTTTTTTTTGCATAATATTAATCATTGGCATGTCTACAGTACATCCAATAATTCTAAAAAGTGTAAGAAAAACATAAATTGTTTCTTACTTGCAATTCTTTGGCAGAAAGGTCAAGCTCCCGACGAACAAGGACTTGACGAATGACAAAGAAAGTCCCAACTCCAAGAAGACCTAATAACACAAGCAAATACGACAACTGGATTCCCAGTTCGAATAATTCCCCAATCTCATAAATCATGTCCATTTTTGTTCCTTCGCTCGATTGTGCTACTTCAACAGAACTCAACCATGATGTAGCTCCACATGAAAGTGCACATAGCCATTGTAATAGATTAGTGTTGCTTCTAGTCTGATCATTGGAAGATAGGCTTGTAAACTCTGCAAAAAAGGAAAAAAAGGTCCACTAAGATTTTCTATGGTAAATAAGCTAAAAGAAAAGTGCATGCCAGGTATGAGCAGCTCATCAACTCTTTATTGCTAATTGTGTTGGCTTGCATGTCAATTTATTCAGAACTAATATATAGATTAAACTAAGAGGTCATTAAGCTAGTTGTTTGCATATATGAACACAAAAACTAAAAGCTTGCTTGCAAAGTCTTGTTAGAAAAACACTTCTATACTAAAATCTCATAGTCAGTTGTTAATTCAATCCTTTCAATTAGAGAATGAAATCCTTTTTTTTAATAAATAACCACTTATGAGCATGCAAGAAACTAAAAATTGAAACCAGTGGATTTCCAATTATTTTAAAAACTAATATGAATTATTGAGAAGTTACATCTTCGAGAAAGCAAAGTAAGAAAGCATGCTGATTCAGATCAATGCGACTCCAAAACTAGTGTTGTTTAAACAGAAAACTATTAGCAATCTTTTAATTTGGCATCTTGCAAATATCACAATGCATGTAATATTTTTCAATCACCAAAAATGAGCTAATACTTATTCTGTACATATTTCATTTCATACAAAAGTTCTTTGATAGTTCTAGGCCTTCTGGCATTATACATCTTCAGTGGATTTAAAAATCCATCAACACTGAAAATTCAAAAAACATAATTAGAATTCCCAATGACCAAATAAGAGGTATCATTAGTTAATTAGTGTATAAGAATAAATCTTCTCTAGAATAATATGACCACAAGAGACACATAATCATGATAAAAATGAGGTTAAGTTACCTTTTCCAGTCTTCAAGACTACGGTCCACATTGTTGCTTCACCATCTGGAATCTGTCTTCCTCCACATAGGAATAAATAGGAAGCGGCAAGAAAAGAGCAAAAAGATGACTTCAGCTTAGGTCAAACTATGGTGTCATATATCTTGTTATATACTCAAGAGTGTGAAAGCAAGAAGAATTTCACGATAAAAATATTCAATAGTCATCTTGTGGAACTAATTACAAAATATATAATTAGCAAAGTGAAGACCTAAGCTACTAGAGTAAACAAAGTTGGCACATTCCTCACATGTTCACATAAACAAACACAAGAAGAACAGAACAATCCTTCAAATTTAGTAAGCTATTCACCTTTTCTTAAAAGATACAACCCAAGAGAATTTCAAAATAGGATCATAAAGACCCATATTTTGACACACATAGTCACGAATCATGTTTGCCTCCAAATAGTCAGAGGTGTAGAGTAGAAAGAAAACACTAACCAGAACATCCATGCAATTTATTATGCCTTAGAAAATTGTTAATCAAACAATTTATTTTAAAGCATGGCATTTTCTGCATCCGATAACTCATTGCCCTTTGCAACCTTGGTACAATGATAATGTTGCCTCTTTGTGACCTAGGAAACTAGAGTTCGAGTCACGAAAACAACCTTTTTAAATATTTAAAGGTAAGGCTGCATACATTGATCCTCCCCAGACCTCGCATTGGCGAGACTCTTGTGCGCTGGATACGCCCTTTTTTATTTGTTGATAACTCGTTGCCCCATTAGAAGTTACAATGTATGACATAAACACAAGCATGAGGGTTGGTTTCAGCTGTATCGTTTGTTTCCATAGGAAGAGAAAAATAATTTGAATGATACAAGATCTTTGGTTTTATATAGTACGCATAATATTATTACATAGATTCACCTAATAAGTTCATATCAGTGACGCATTCGTTTGATGTTCATACAAAAAATCAGAACTAAGAAAAATGAGCTTACTCTTAGCTGAGAGATTCCAACCTTAAACCAGCCCTAACCTAAAAAATAAAAGAACTTACTATCTGACTCAAAGATATGTAGGTACCAGAAAACAATTTATGATGGTCGATGCTTTCATGTAACATGGAACATGAAATCACCTATAACTCGTATAAGCAGGTTGTATCCTATTCAAACAAGTTTAGCTTCAGTTCCACTCACAGTATATTATCAGTTCTAGATCATTATACATCAAATGGTCCATAAGATGTGAAGACTCCACGAGGTCATTTACATCCCTAGCTAGATAACATCAACAAAGAGGATGCATCTACATATACTATAACTCAATTAAAAAAGGATAGCAAGTACCTGCTTGGTTATACAGTGTAAACTCATGCAAAACAAAGTCAATCACCATGGTCTCTCTAGAGACTACACTTGGAAAGATGTAGATGTTCGATATGCAAAAAATTTATTGTAATAGTAATTTCATGTGCACCTATTAAGACTGGGTAGCAACTCAAAAGACAATAGCGGACTACCCTGTGGCATCATCCCATACTGTTTGTTTGCATAAACACCTTTTCATCTAGCTAGAAGCAGAATCCTATCTTTCATTCCGCTTTCTCAACAATTTTAGTGAAAGATCACAAAGTGCCTCTTCATTCATGAATTGGAATTCATCTGATAAACCATCATAGTTGGCCATTGATAAAGATTTTGGTGGATACCACAAATCTTATAAACTGAAGCTGTTACAAAAGTACCAAAATATTGTTAATTAAAGGCGGGATTTCAACTCACGACCTGCTCTAATACCAAAACAAAGACTTTGATTGGGGTACTACCTAAAAATCCAAAGTGAATGGCTAAAACACTTCAATGGTCAACATTCGATCACCATATTATATGCAACAAGTGAGTATTTTAGGTCAAAGTTAGCAGGAGTTACTGACTGGGAAATAATACGCCACCACAGAACAAACTACCAAGCACATCGACGTATCAAAATTGAGAATATCGAATGCTGGCGGCAAATCAAGAATGCCTACAGCCCCGAAGTGGTTATATCAATCGTTAACGGAGAAAGATTTCCACCCTTCGCTTCATACCTCTTTTCTCTCCTTGAAGACACAACAGCAGCTCTGTCTCGAATTCCTTCTGATCGCGACGAGGTTCCTCCGGTAACGGAAGCCGCCGCCGGCCAGCTGCAGACGAGGTAGAGAACTGGGGTTGAGGAGCGCCACCGCCGCCGAGCTCGGGAGAGTTCCCATCGGTCGATGGATCGAAGCCCTCCCTCACGATGCAAGCGAAGAGCGGAGCGAAGAGGACTCCCAACCGTAGTGGTGGAAAGAGGATGGATAAGACGTCACCCTCGTTATCTGAACCGGTCCAATTGGAAACCCACAGAGCGGTTTGATTACATTAAGAGTAAACCAAATTATTCGATGCCAAATCAAATTAATGAGTTGTCCAAATTGAATTAAGTGGATCAAATAAACATAATAACCGAAAAACTGACAACTGTTCGACGATTAAAAAATATTTAAAATATCGATAAAAATTTCATCTAATTTGATTTTGGATTAGATTAACTATCTAATTAATCTAAGAAAGCCCAATCGAGTCTCAAAATTTATACTAATTTTTATAATAATTCAATTAATGAATGTTTTAATCATATTTAAGCTGCCATCACTGTTTAGTGGATTCGGATTCGGATTCTATTAGATCCGACCAATATGGAGATCTCGGATTCTGGGTGGATCCGACCCAAAATTATCACTTTTCATTTGATAAGACACATTAGTCCGCTTATTACGCAATCGCAATATATATATATATATATATATATATATATATATATATATATATATATATACGCTTAATCGCGCGTCTGACCTAAGCAGCATCACCGCAATCGCATTATAGATTTGGATCGAGGGATTCTTCGTTGCAAGGTACAGAGACGACGATGGGATCGACGGAGAAGAAGAGAGCCAGAGCCGCAGTGGTCGTCCTTGGCGATATCGGTCGCAGCCCGCGCATGCAGTACCACGCCCTCTCCCTCGCTGAACAGGCACGTTTCCCGATCCCTTTTTGCCCCTTTCTTCCTAGCCCTCCTCGGCGACCCCCCATTGATCTAGACGCCCTTTTCTCTCCGTCTTTGTTGCTGCTGGGGGTTCTTGGAGGACAAAGATTTGACGTTTAGTTCTATGCTTCTCACGGATGCACATCCACCGCAATTGATTAATTCTCTAGGCGTTCTGATGAACGCCTTTCCCGGAAACTTCAGTCGCACATCTCACTATATACATTTTGAAAATAGTTTTATGCCTATTGTTGAGCTTTTCAGTGTATTTAATTTGTCTGCATTTAGTTTAGTAGTCAAGCTTCCTATGGAATATAGTAGTTGATCATACTTTTACATCATCCCAAGTCTTCTCCTATCCTGATTTCTTACTACTTACGAAATTGTTGTTTTTCCCCCTCTTCTGCAGGCAAATCTAGAGGTGGACATCGTAGCAAATGGAGGTCTAATTTATATTTTATATACAATTTTTTATTTGTTTTCTTACTTCTCTGAGCTTATGTTGCTTCTCTTGTCATTTTTAAGGGGCCTATTACCTTTTCAATTTGTGTCTATTCAGGAATCAACAATCACATCATTTTTTTTTTCAGTCACTTGAATCTTTATCTTGAGATTTTATAGATGATTGTATTAGCCTGTTTATATGTCATGCACGATTTTACCTTCTAGAATGGTATGTTCTCATTCATGCCAGTCACGCCACATTTCTTGATTTGTAAGATCAGTTGATCCTGATCCAGATCTGCCCACGTTTCAACCTATTCCAATTATGTTCAAGACAATCCTAGATAGACTCTGATCATTTCTAGCCTTTGTTGGTTGATTAACTGATTTTATCTTAGATCCTAAGCCAATCAGAACTTGATCCCAATGCTGTAATCCTTGATATTCAGAGCTGGACTGAGTTATACTTGCAATTTTTAGACAGCCATTTTGTTCTATGTCTTTCTTTTCTCATTAATGATTAATGAACAGGTAGTGATCCTTATGTGGCTATAAGAGAGAACCATTCTATTCATTTGTACCAAATGGTACATATTTCTATCTTGCTTTTTTTTGTGAACATGCTTTAAGATGCCGTATGTGTACTGAGCTATTTTTTCCTGTTTCAGAGGTCCATACACCTCAGAGGATTATCAAAGATATCAAGTGCATTGACACTAGTAATCAAGGCTGCATTGCAGTTTGTTATCTTAGTTTGGTTTCTTTGTGTTAAGATTCCTCGTCCAGATGTTTTCCTTGTGCAGGTCAGACATCGACTTAAAAATCTATTTATACATGCATGACTATTTAATAGTTGGTGATCAATGTAAAAGGCCAATATTTATGAGTTTCTATCATCTGACTATCCATTATTGCATGCCAATTTATGAAAGTGCTCAATGAGTTTGCATCTCATTCTTGTATTTTTTTTTAAATGTATAATTATAGTCCTTCATAGTCTGTGATCTTACTTGGTAATATCATGCATGTTCATAAAAGTGGTACAATTTTAACCATATATAACAAATATAATACTCAAGAAATTTGTTTAAGTGTCCTGCAAAATCATGAATGTTGGAGAAAGCTGTTAATAATATGGAAGTGTACAAATTGTAACATGGTTTGAGGTTTTTCTATTGATTTTGACTTCGGTCAATGGCTGCAGTGGAACTTTTGGCAGTTTCAGAATATGTTTCAGAATTTCTATAGTTTTGGGTGGATACATCTCATTTGCTTTAAATATATGATATTACCTGATATTAATGGAATGTTGGACTTACAAATTTTGTAGTTGAGTATTTTAGATACTTTAGTCTACATATGGAAGGCTTCTAAAAAGTACTTTTGCTTTTCTCTATCATGTTGAAGTTTATGGCCATATAACTTTATCAGCAACTTGACATCTTTTTTATCTTCTATTTGGGGCAGAATCCACCATCTGTTCCCACATTAGCTGCTGTCAAACTGTCTAGCTGGTTAAGACGATCTAAATTTATAATTGATTGGCACAACTTTGGATATACACTTCTTGGGTTATCCCACGGAAGAAGTCATATAATTGTGAAAACCTACCATTGGTAATTTTTTTTTGAGTTTCCTAAAGTTATTTGTATAAAGTTGACTACCTTCTATAGTAAAATTATACTTAATTCTTTCTGGATGTTTCACATTTTTAGGTTTGAAAGTTATTTTGGGAGGATGACGGATGGCTCATTATGTGTTACAAGGGCAATGCAACATGAACTTGCTGAAAATTGGCGAATCAAGTGAGTGAATTGATGAAAGTTTAGCTCATTCATGAAACTTGTACATAAAAGGTTGGGATATTATGCATTTCTGTACCATTCGTTAATATCACAGAGCAACTGTGCTTTATGATCAGCCACCTGAGTTCTTCCATCCTACTTCAATGAGGCAGATGCATGAGGTGACATGAGTTTTTTTTGTCACATCTCTTTTTCCTCATATGTAGATTTGTAGTGGTGGCTCTGAGATATGCCATAGTTGTTTTCTAGGTTGCAGAATGATATCTGTCGGCCAAATGGAGTTTGCGACTATGTTAGTGCTGGTAAATCTTATTAAATAACCAGTTTTTACATCTACATCATAGCATCTTCTGTTTTGGTGCTAATTTTCTGAAACACTTCTGTCTGCTAGTTGCAATGCAAGAAGGTTTGGATACTGATGAGGCCATCACCGAGTTGAATCAATCTAGTGATACATTGTTTAGTTCTCAGATTGACAGTAACATTTTTTTGAAACCAAACAGACCAGCCCTTGTTGTCAGTAGTACAAGTTGGTAAGTTTCATATGGTAGGATATTCATAGTACATCTTTTTTACATATTTTATTTTTAGAATACATATTTAACAAAGTTCCTTATAATTCATAATAAATATCAGTGCCAATTGTTGTATGATAAAATTTTCCCCTAATTATTTTGTAGAGTTTCTTATCTGGTGTTTTCATTGTTTCAAATATTGTGATATATCAAGTATACTGTACCTGTTTAATACCATCGTCATACTGGTACCAATGTAGCAATCGTTATCATACTGGTAATTTGTACCGATCACACCGATTGAGCTTATTGAGCATAAGTCTATTGAACTCAAGTCTTATTGTTCACACATCCCAGAAATTATGATCAATGAAGCAGCCTTGATGGCATTAAGACTGAGATCTCTGACAACCTTGTCTTTCTTAGCTTGTGGATTGGCATCATGCTGTGAATGTGTCATTCTGAGTTTCGAAATCAGTTTTGGAAGTCTTAATCCAAACTGATTTGTTTATTTTCTAGTGGTATGTACACAAAACCATTTATCTAGAGCTGCTTCTGGCTCTACTCAGGGTATCAAAAGTAACTATAGCCCACACCATCAAACTAAACTGTGTGCTGGAAAATTTATCAAAAAGAAAATAAGAAAAACAAATGAAGCTCCCTTGTTGAAGATTTAGTTTTCTTGTATTTACTGACTTTGTGTAGATTTGTATGCTCAATTTTTAAATATATGCAGGACTCCAGATGAAGATTTTAGCATACTTCTTCAAGCAGCACTCATGTATGATAGGCGTGTTGCTGCAGCCCTAGGTGAGAATGATTCAATCGTTGAAGAGAAGTTGTGGATGGACATCAGCAACGGGGAACAGCAATTGTACCCTCGATTGTTGTTTGTCATAACTGGTATGAATTTTTTTATGAAAGCAACCCTTGCCTCTGCTAGTATGATGTCATCCAAATTTCAAAGGACGCATTGAATTATGAAGGTAAAGGGCCTGAAAAGAAGAAATACGAAGAGCAGATAAAGAAGTTAAAGTTGAGGCGTGTGGCCTTCAGAACGATGTGGCTATCAGCTGAGGATTATCCATTGTTACTCGGTGGGCTAATATATTGATTTGCAAAGAAGTGCATATCTAACTTTCTTATGTCCATATGATCAAGTGGATATTTGACTAATGTTCGGTTCCAGGCTCTGCAGATCTTGGTGTATCCCTGCACACTTCTTCATCTGGTTTGGACCTTCCCATGAAGGTAATTCTTGATTGAATCACTTGCTGGTGGTTGACATAAAGGTTCCTATATTTTTATTAAAGTTCAACTCATTGCCTTCAGGTTGTTGATATGTTTGGATGTGGACTGCCTGTGTGTGCTGCTTCATATTCTTGGTACAAAATTTAGAGCACTGATGTGATATGATTGCTCAAGTACATTCACAAACTAACTAATTGATTTTGCATGTAATGCTTCTAGCATTAAGGAACTTGTTAAAGTTGAGAAAAATGGGCTACTATTTTCATCACCATCTGAGCTTGCTGATGAATTTATGGTAAGTGTTTTCTCAAGCATCCTATGATGCTATCCAGTTCCTATTTTCTTCAAGTAGAAGTTTTGCAAATAGCAGTTGCTGACTGTAGCGAAATTATTAAAACAAAAAAGAACCTTAAGATGATCTAGACTAAGTGATTAGGTGTTATGTTTTGTTTGTTCATTCATTTTCTTAAAATCTTGAACATTCAATTTTGAGGAGTTCTGTGCAGATGCTTTTCAAAGGCTTCCCAGAGAAATGTGAGGCCCTGAAATCTTTGAAGGATGGTGCTTTAGCTACAAGCTCAAGCTCAAGATGGTCCACAGAATGGGAGAGTCATGCGTTGCCACTGATTTCTGAGGCAAGTTTCTTATATAACTGACAGTATATGCTTATTTTGGTTCAACACAATTTTGATGATCCAAAACAATGTGCCTTTTTTGGCTTTGTATTAGTCAGTTTTATATGCATGCTGTCGATGGGTCACTGTAAGTTTGCAAACTTGCTTGTTCCTTTTATAAGTTATTTGCAGGGAAATTTATTCTAGATATGAATCTCAAGATTTTAATCACTTTCTGATGCATTTAGTTGTACTAGCTAGCAGTGTGAAGTTAATTTTTTAGTGAGGGTGGTGAAAAGCTTTCTATTTGAGTGAAACGGTTAGGATTCATGAGATTTAAACTGCATATTTTCTCAGTCAATATATCAAGGATTCAACTCCACTAAGAAGTTCCTCATGTTCTTGTGGTTGGCTCGATATCGGTTGAAGCTGTCAGGAACAGTGAAATGCAAGTATAGTGTTCTCAATTGATGTATCTCCATATAGATATCACAAATAAACTCCAGAGGAACTTTGTTCTTTTTCTTGTGGACTCTTGTTTTTGCGATTGGCTTGATAACTGTAGAAACTGAAAAGTTGTTACTCCTCCCAAACAGGTGCATTATCTGATTTTGGTGGTTTTGAACATATTTGTAGGTCATATCAGAGAAACAAAGATGACAGCTGGTGGAACCGTCAGTATTTGAAGATAATTCTTTGCTTGAAATCAAGGATTTCCACTGATGTTGTTTCCATGCCTGATTCAATGATCTTATAAATGTCATGGGGGCATACAGGACATATGAAAGCTACAAACAGCAATGAGTAAAAACTTGAACAAACTTTTGTTTGGGCTAATTTTACATGTAACTGTATCACATATTATAACTTAGTGTCATATTTGGAGTGTGCTTGGATATGATATCATTGTTGGAAAGTTAATTTTGCTGTTTCCTGCTTGTGCAAACCTGCAAGAGATGCTCAGTTGGATCAGTTCATGCATGTGGATGGCACTCAGGTGTCAACCCTTTGATGTAACAGTAAATACTAAGACTTGAACAGGAGCAGCAAGCCAAACATTTGAGATTGGATGAATGCCTGTCGTATCGATATACCCGAAACTGAGCTGCAATTCTGACTTACAAATAACCTTCAAAGGTAAGCAATGAGCAACCACTTGAATAGGAAGTTGTAAAGGTTACATTGAACTTCAATGTCAACCATGCAAGGTATATTCTGGCAAACACTTAATTCAAAGAAGATAGTTTCTTTGTCTGAAACTCAAATACCTCTGGCTGACCGATCTTCGTGACCTTTCTTCCTTTGTGTTTCGTGCATCGCTTCCTTGCAGGCAGTGGTAGATTCATGCAAATTGAGCCATCATCTAAATGAACACCACATACATATGATCTTACTGTTTCTGCTGAGCTTGATGTGCCACTACCAGTTACCCTCTTTCCTTTATGCTCCTCACACCTCTTTCTTCCAGGAACAGGCTTCCTTCTACAAATATCTCCATCCTCTGCTACCACCCCACAGATGTTTACTTCAAGTATGGGGATGAGTTTTTGCATTTCTTCTGCAGGAGGCCAACTTTCCCAGCCGCTTGAGGATTTATAAATATGAGGTATTCTCTGGTGCTTAGGTTGAACCATTTTCCCAGCAGCACTATCCTCAGAGCATACAAGAGATGAGTTATCCTCTATCATTCTTATGTCTCTACTTGTCACATTGCTGTTAACAGAAATCCTCTTTCCTTTATGCTCTGAACACCTTTTGCGTCTTGGCACAGGTTTATTTCTACAGATGTGTCCATTACCAATGGCCACTCCACAAACTTTTTCATCTTGAGTAAGGTTATCGTTCGGTTGAACTGACTGACGCTGTGACTTGACAAATTTGAAGATTTGAGGGAGAAAACCTCTCGTCTTCTCTGATTCCGCTTCATCAATTGACAAACCTGCATCAATCTTGATCCCTACATTTTTGCTAAGTACAGGCCACTTCCACTGCTTGAACTTACTTAGTAAACCAGAATTAGACCTGGTTGATGCCTTATCTAATTTTAACAGGATATCTTCACGCCGACAAGCACCATTTCCACGCCTGTTCCATGCATAATCAAAGAAATTAAGTAGCTGTTCCTCCATCTTCTCTGCTTCTTTTTTGTCTTTCATCTGCTTACACACAAAGAGATACTGTTTAGGCATTTAGGAACTAAAACAATAAAAGAGTAAAACACATTAAAAAGAATAAAAAATGTTAGACAGGTTGTGACATATACCTGATTTTGTGTTTCGTATGTATGTTTGAATAAAGAGCGAAAGCCTAACTCTAAGAAGTTAATTACGCTGGTATTGTCTTTATAACTCGCAGACATTAAGAAAAAAAATAAGATACAAAGTCAACGCCAGCATTAACCCAATGAATAGAAAGTCTATGGAGTTAACTCCATAATGATACTTTAATTTATTTTATGCTTGAATTTCAAGATGCCCATAAAAAACTTGAGAAGTAAGATCATATATTTATATACTAATATTAAAATGTACTAATAGATCAACTTTAGAAGAAGAAGAAGTGAGACCAACTTTAGACATGTATTAATGTATACTAATAGATGATACAAAATAAGGTAATACAATAATGAATAAATTGAAGCAGGTAGACAAAAGAATAGGGATGTAACAAGTTCTAACAATGCATCACGATCCTGATCTTAATATTAACTAGAATTTTGAGTCGACAAATATAAGAAAAGAATCCAACCATTGTAGAAGGTAACTAGTTAGTTGCCTTAAGACAAACCAGATTGACTAACACAGAGATGTCATGTCAGAAGCGTCAATCAGTACTGTTCTATGGTACATCCTACGACTCAATATCCAAAAGGACAAATTGTATTCTATTTATAGAAAAGAAAGCCATGATTGGGCAACAATCATGGCAGCAACTCAGTGTCACAAACTGTAACTTTTATGAATGTAAAACAGCCTATTCATCATATATCTAATAGCCAACATCAAACTTGCCAGAAGAAATAAGAGAACCAGTTTTTCCAAACACAAATTGAGACATAATTATGGCGTTTGAAGTCCATTCTTGAAAGTCCTCTAAGATGGCTTATGTTTTAGTGCCTTCTAAGTCTAAATATCATAGCCCCAACTCAATGTTCGTTCCTTTCCATAGTAATATCAAACATGTTAATAATATATGCAAAATAAATCATAGGCTTACCGGAGCCCATCTGTACACAATGGAATAGCCCTTCGAGAAGATTTCTTTAAATAAACCAGGTCCTTTTTGGAGACAAGGAGTTTCACTTTCCGCTGAATAAGTAAATGAATTTCCATGGTCCAAATGAGATCCTGCACGTCCATACTGTTGAAGCCTTGTTCTAACATTATCAGCTTGACCAAGATACACGACAACAATGTCCTTTAAAGCTTGCTGACGGGTCTTGGTGCCTCTTCCATCAGTTGGAGTCACAGCAATGCCTAATTCATAGAGTCCAGGGCATGAACAACTAGCAGGAAGGTTATGAATTTTATATCTCTCTGCCCCATTCTTGCCCAAGGAATGATCCTCCCAATCCGATGATCCAATAACAATCTGAGAAAGTGAAGAAAGCACATCAAGTTTCATAACGTGTGGTAACATGTGGATCTAAGAAGGCAAGAATAATGTTTCGTACCAATGTATGCATCATATATGTGCTTATTATATATGCTGCAACAAAATTCAAGCACAACTTTGTAGCACTTTTGTTTTCATATGAAACAACTTCCTTCTCATTCTGGTTTAGCAAGTCATAATCTATATTACGATTTATGATTATGTAGAATTTGGCAATTGCAAAAAAGAAAAAAGGGCATAAACTCATTTAGCGATTCTTCAGGCTTCAGATATAAGCTGTATGCTGATGTGGTAAAGACTTGTTTTATTTCATATCATCATGTGATCGGATGTCTAATCACATATCAGAAAATGCCATTATACCCCAAATAGCCAGTATACCCCAAATAAAACTAAATGTGCATAAACTACCAGAATAATAGCATAGATCTCCCATTCCATTATATAGTCTGGTCACATTAAAGCATTATGTTACATGCAACATTTATTGGACAGCTTCTCCATCAGAGGAGTGAACAGTTAACAGCATGGATTGTACAGTACGCACCTTAGAATGGAATGTTAATCAATTTGCTTTCTTAGCATCACATGCTCTTAAGAAACGATTGTGATACAAAAACAATGTTTAAACATCTATAAGTTAGTGAGAATTATTCAGTCTCTAACTGCGTGGTTTTGTTAAAAGTACAACCAAAGATAAGCTGGTGGCTACCAAGACAATGTCTGTACAATATCAAGATACAGTTACACACAATAATTTAGAAACAATGAAATAACTGTGGAAAACATGAATCACTGATTATCTGTATGGAACTAAATATGAAATGTTAATGGTGTATAAGACATTGACATTACATAGATATCTAACTTATGTTTATTGATATAAACTCATTTGATAACACAATAGTTAATGTCATAACTTTTCTGCTATCAAGATAGGTGATGCAAAACAATAAACAGAAAGAAATGCAGACTGTGTGACTGAAAGGTATGCATGGACTACCAAGCTAAATCCGCCGGCCACTTTTTGATAACTCAGGAAGCATGGAGGTGGTTCTGCCATATCGGACCAATTAGCAAAAGATAGACCATTAAATGCATAGGAAACGAAGAAAAACTCGGACTTTTTAAAGATTGCAAAATCAGCGAATACAAGTAAACAAACTCTAGAAGCACTGTTCGAGTTAAGTACACTGTCGGTTTCCTTTTACCCTTTTTCTTTTAATCGAGCACGTAGAATGCATTATAAGCATGGCGTTGTTGCGCCAATTAGCGAAGGAAGTAGCCCAAGGTATATAGAAAAATGAGGAAAAGCTCTGATTTTTAATCGAAGAAGAGAAATAGATTGCAAAATCAGCGAACACAAGTCAACAAACACTATTCGTGCTAAGTACATTTCTCTGTTGATCTCCATTTTCCCCTTCTATTTGGGGGCATAAAACGCATTGGAGGTGCCATGTTCATCATAGTTTCCTTCTCCTCAAAAAGGAGAACTTTTGATTTCCTCTCGGAAACTAAAGCTCCGAAAACCCCAAGACTCCAGCCTTCATCGATCCATTAGAATAAAAAGGAGAAGAAGAAGGGGAATGAGGGTTCGACGGACCTTCCAATCGGAGAAGACGGAGTCATGCTTGGTGCGGTGGCATTCCTCCCTGCGGAGCCTGGAGGAGTCCATCATCATCCTTCACTTGCGGCGTCGAGGGGGTGGAGTCGTGCCCTTATTCCCTCCCCCCCCTCCATCCACCTCCCTTCGCCCCCTTCCTCCTCCTTTTGGATTCGATGGCCAAAAATACTGGTCCACTTGCCACATACATACATGCATACATCCCAAGGATGTTTGACTTCGAACGGTGCTGTCGTTGACTTGCGGCCAACGAAGTCCATTTGGTAAAGCGAGAGAAGAACTCAGATTTATTGGTTTTATTGTGAAAAATATCACACAAAAAAGCCTATTTGTTAATTATTTTTTATGGGGCCATAAAGAAACTTTTAACTCAGATGAAATATGGATTCTACAATGATATTGATGAATTTTGATCATCAATTCAATGTGATGAAATTAATATCATCTGGTCCATTTTCTTAGTGTCCAGAAGAGGTTATGAGTCATGATTCAAAAATAATTTCTTCTGAAATCAAAGAATCTATATCCCATTTCAATTCATTCCTTATAAAAAAATAATTACATTAAGAACAAATAAAAAAGCTCTTAAAGATTTTTTATATTTTTTTTATAAAGGATAAGTGGTGAGAGAGAATTTGATCTGAAAAATTGTGATGGTTGGAGAGCTTTTACTAATTAAGCTAGCTAGTTAGTTTTAAAGTTGGAAAAGAGTACTTTAGTATTAATTTGATTGGTTTAAAATTTTAATTTACTTAAAAGAAAAGAAAATATTTGTAATTGAGTTGCTCTTGGATGCAATTGAAGCTCAAGAACATACGAGTTAGGTTATATATGATCACATGGGTCAGACCAAACATGCGGGTGCATAAATTAGGCCATAGATTAAGTTGGTCAATAGTTATAACTATTATAGGTTCTCTCCTAAAACGAAATAGAAAGCATTAAAGCTTAGGTTGGTCACAATTTTCTTTTTCTTCTTTTACACCAAATGGCACTTAACTCGAGTAACAACTCATTCCATAAGTTGAAGCCTCAACTTATTCGAAGGCTTCGTACGACCTATATGAAGTTGTAGTATAATCGAGAATGATTTAAAGATAAGATCGACTTGAAGACATCTCAAAGACATGATCAACACAAGAACAACGATCGACTTAACGAATAAATTGACTTGAGGGCATCAACATCATAGCCAACACACCATCTTCACTTAAGATCATCTTAAGGAAGCAACCATCATCTCAAGGAAACTTCGATAGCATCTCGACGATGGGATCAACTAGGGTGTCTAACTACTTGGCCGGTCTTGATGTAGCCCGTTGACATGTGAGAAATTATCCGCTTTGGACGATGAGGATCGAGTCTGCACAGTTTTACACTTTCGGAGTCTGTGAACTCCAAAAGGTACCTATAAGGATAAGGGAGATCCAACGGATTTATGAGCTTTTGGTTCTGATACTATTCAATCGACTAAATAACCTTATGAATCTTTTAATAATAATAAATTACTTTTAATTACAATCATAAAATGTATGGACTCGGGGAAAGGAGAGGTGGCCCCCACCGACGAAGTGCGGCGAGAGGCTCAGCTCAGTGAGAATAATCGTCTCCGGAGATCGGACGGGGCCGAATCAACCCGGCGGGCTTCTTTGGTGACGCTGTCTGAAACCATGGTCCCACCTTGTGGGCCCCAGTCCGAAACGAATACGGCAGGCGGCGTCACCCGAGAAACTCTTTCGGGCTGATTGGGTATGCCCCGGCTTGCTTGGCTGTGTTTAGGGCCGACATCTGATGCTGCCGTGTCCCGTCCAGGCTATAAACCCGTCGACGATGCGCACCGCGGTGAAGCGAGCGCGCGCGTCTTCGACTCATCTCGGTGTGCTGTGTGTCGCCGCTCACCGAGAGAGAGAGTGAGAGAGAGAGATGGCGGATGGGTTGGATTGGGAGTCGCTGACGGAGGCGACGTCGGGGGCGGTTGGGGCGCTGGTCAGCACCACCGTGCTTTACCCCCTCGACACTTGCAAGACCAAGTATCAGGCCGAAGTCCAATCCCATGGCCAGCGCAAGTACAGGTGAGGCAATTCTCCCTTTCCCCATCACGCCCCTCTCCTCCTCTTGTTGTCTTTTCCTTGAAAGATATTGTTTTTAGGTGGACAAGGACTATTTCTCTTGGTTCTGTGTAATTCATATGCAAATCTTGGTAGCTGATTTTCTAATTTGCTTTTTATCCAGTTAAAAGATCCCTTTTGTTTTAGACAGGGACGATTTTTTTTTTCGTTTTAAGTGATTCATATAAGGATTCAAGCTAAAAATAAGCTAATTCATTGTCTGTCGTCTTTTCCTCTGGAAAAATAAAATCTTGTTTTTGGATGGACAATGACGATTTCGTTTTCGTTTTAAACGATTCATATAAAATCTTGGAAACTGATCTGTTGATTGTCAACTGTGATGTCATGATTATGGATTCGGGCTCGCCGGATTGCTTGTTGATTGTTGGAATATTTTTTTTTAATTTTCTTAAAAAAGAGGTTCTCATAGTTATTATAATTATTATAATTTTTAATTTTCAAGATGTGTTTTCTTCTTCACCCATTTGTAATCGATTACTTGATTGGGATGGCTATTAGGGTTTTGTAGGTTGTGATGCTGATAGAAGATCATTCGTCGAGTCTCTGTAATGAGTTAGTAACTAATAGATTTGATGGCAAGGAGAGCAATTATCACTTATTCAAAGTTCTCCTTTTTTTTTTCCTTTTTTTTTTCATCTTTAGCCCAACATTCTTCTGCTAAGGGTAGTAGTTGAAAGATAGTGGTTGCTCTTTGCAGTCAAATATCCTTTTGTTGAGGAATTGAATTTTTCTTCTCAGTCGAACTAGAGCTTTTCTTCAGAATCTATCGATAGAAACTAAAAGTTGACAGCTCAGTAATTTGTGGCATTTTGTCACTTTTTTCTGATCAAAACTAATTAGAGTTTTGAAATCAGACAATCTTGATCTGGATTATCAATTGGTATTGCATCCAAATCCTGAGATTTTCAGGGCTTGCCAATTTGAGTGTTTGCGATTTGTAGGATGACTTGGATCTTCCGTTCCAGCTAAAACCATTTTTGGATCAAGCAATGTGTCTGATTCCATCTGATCTTTATTATTTGAGTGTTTATAAAGATTTGAGGCAAAATGATTAGTCTTACCTACCATAACTGCAACCTGCCTCTGATTTGCATCCTCTGCTTCCACCACTCCTTCAACCTTTGTTTGTTACGATTTGCATGCCTTACTTAGTCCACTCTTTCTCCAAATGAAAGTTAATTCTGGAGAGCTTGGTCAGTCATGATCTATCATAGAAGAATGGGAATGGGAGCATGGACAAGCATGAGAACAAGGACAAAGATGAAAATGACGACAGGAATGAGGAGCAGATTCAGTGCCCTGACCACCACTGAGTTCTGAAAAAAAAAAATCCTATTTCTTCTGTATTTTCACTTTTGTTTTCGTATGTTAATTTTTTATTTTATTTTTTAACCACACCAACAATCTAAAGATTTAATCCATCTGATGTTGTTTTGACTAGAAATTTTTGGGGTTGATCCCAATTCTTGAAAACTTGCTACATTGGCTTCATTAATTATAGCTAACTAAATCCCTTTCTACATTGGCTTCATTAGTGTTAGTTAACTTTCTACTGTGACTCATCTCTTGTTATGCTTCACATGAGAACTGCCAATTAAATTATTCAATCTCAATAGTTATGGTGGACTCCATCACATCCTTCTCATGACCAATGTTGTGATGGACCAATCACATGGTGATCTTTTTTGAGATTTCTTGCTACATGATTCTAAAAAAGATCAGTTTCTTATGATTTCTTGGGTTGCATAAGCTATCTGACAAACCTTGTCCTCAATGTTGGACTCTTTTGGTGGTGTAAGACCAGTTTCACTTTTGTACCAGTAGCAGAATAAGCTCTTGATTGGATCTGATCATCTAATAGAATCTAACAACTTATAAGATTGACCTTTGTCTTAAAGAAACAGAAACAAATAAGCCACAGGAAATCATGAAATGAAGAGTAGGACACAGTGTGGCATTAGTATAGGACTCCATTTAATCTGAATATGGTCTGCTGAGGTGTTTAATTTTTCATCAAATTGTTGTCAGACAATTGAAACAACCTTACTGTCACGAATATGCCATATGCAGAAGCTTCTAAACCAATGATATATGAGCAAACTATGATCTATAGTCAGTTTCTAATTTATATTTTCTTTATGGCCCAGCATCATCTTGTAAAGCACATATAATGTATTTTCTGAAAATTGAGGAACTCATCCATGGAAATTGGCCATGTAAAGTCTTTACCATATTTCATAGAGAAGGTGAAGTTATTAATTTGCAGTGCAATCAGATCTATATTCAAAGGACTAATACTTTTTTCCACTGCATCAGAATAGCAGTTTGCTATACGGATTTTTAACTTGATTTCTTTTCTGGCTTTATCAGGAAGCTTTCTGATGTACTGTGGGAGGCAATTTCCACACGCCAATTTCTTTCGCTCTACCAAGGACTAGGCACCAAGAATTTGCAATCTTTCATATCGCAATTTGTTTATTTTTATAGTTATAGCTATTTTAAACGTTGGTATCTGCAAAAGAGTGGAGCTAAATCTATTGGAACAAAAGCTAACTTGGTTGTCGCTGCTGCTGCTGGTGCTTGCACTGTGGTTGTGACTCAGGTAAGAGCTTTATCTGAGTGGAATTTGATACTATGTCCTGCTGTAATCTAGATATTATGTCCTAACATAGTCGAGTTGTTTCTTTCACAGCCAAGTAGCTAAAGTTTGGTTGCATTGATATTTATCAGTGTAGTTTCTTTTCTTTCCAGCCACTAGATACTGCATCTTCTAGAATGCAAACTAGTGCATTCGGTAAATCCAAGGGTTTATGGGAAACCCTGTCAGAAGGATATTGGAGTGAAGCATATGAAGGCTTAGGCATATCTCTCCTCTTGACAGCAAATCCTGCGATTCAGGTTCATGTTTTTCTTAGAGCCAAAATTGTGCTGGAATTGATTTTAAAACTGCAGGTTTTTAGGCTATTTTTAGCTTAGTTCTCATTCTTGCATGGAGTTCTTATTAATTAGGCTTGTGATGAATCCATGATCCTGATGAAGTGGGATAGAAAATGTTTAATGAACAACAAGGTCCAGTTCTTGCATCATGTACCATTCATGAGATCTTTGCACCAAGTCGAGGAAATATATATGAAGCAAGAATTTCCATAATCAACAATATGAGGATTCTGAGATTAGGTTGGTAAAGTTGGTTATTGGGCTGTACAGACTACAGGAATTATACAGAATAGAGAACATAAGTCATTTTGATGTCTAGTAAATTGAAGAGCATTGAAGAATTGAACACTTAAAAGAGTATAGTGTCCAACTGCTTTAGTCAATTCAACGAGATCTGTTCATTTATTTTCTTTTTCCATGATATCACTGAGCAAAAGTACAATGATCCGTTGCTGTCTGGGAGACAAAATCTTATAAATGCATCATGAGCGACATTGCCTGTGTTTCTTTGTACGATATTTGTGTGTTCCTTGCCCAGACAGATGGTAAGTACTTTTGATTTGATAATGCATGCATGATAACTAAGTTATATTTGATATGAACATGATAACTAAGAGATCTTGTTGCCTTTCACTGAGATGGAATCCCTGGTACTTTTGTATGTGTAATAATCTCTCTCCCTCTCTCTGTCTCTCTCTCTCTCTCTCTCTCTCTCACACACACACACACACACACACACACACACAACTTCTAGTAGCAAAATGTAAGACTAACAAGAAACATTATCATAGATGATAGCCTGAATGTGAATGCATTTTCGTGTCATTTGGCATCCAATTCATATAGTAATGACTATCTGCTAGATTATCAGTGCAGATAGTTTAACACTGTTCTTTGATGATTAAATCAATCATAGCCTGTTTGGATAATTTGCTGTTCTTCTGATCTAATGGATGTACCTTAGATTTTAAAAACTGTCATATGAGATTACCATCATAGTTTTCCAATGAATGAGATGACTTTATTCCAGAATGTTTATATGTTATTTATTTAAATGCACTATGCATTACATTTTCTCCTATCAGTTCAGAAGAAGCAATTACCAATGCACTAATACGTGAAGTTTCAACCTTTAAATCCTTGAAAGAAAGTGCATTGTGTTTACTGGGGTTAGCCCAATGTTTGTTAATTTTATCAGCATGTTCTTAACCTTCTAGCTTGTTAGAAGTTTGAGCTCATAGAAACCATCATATTTATTCCATCTCATGTCACAATGCATTAGGGAATCTTGATGTCTATTTGACTTAGGTGCCTTTCCAGGTACTCTGACCTCAAGTAGCTTGCTTATTTTGATGTGTGCTTAATTCTGTAGATACTCCTAATGGTGCTGATTGCTTGCAGGAAGGTTTGTAAAAAATAAAAGAGGATTAGAAATATATTTTAAAGATTTATCTTACTTCCGGACACATCTTTGAGCACCACGTGGCAGATAGTTGCATCATTTCTCTCTTAATATTGATGCTAGGAATTATAACTTTTGGAATCCTTGTCAAATTCACACCTCTAAGATTTTCAATACACACTCATTTGCTTGTAATCATTTTGTTATTTGCTCCTCAATGTTGTGAAATTCAATAAATAGTAGACCAAATATTTTCCATCTGATGATGTCTCATAAAAAAACCATTGGCAGAAGTACCAAAACCTTTTTAATTTCATGACAGGTACTAATCATGACTTTGTTATTTTTTACTTGACAAAATGCATAGTATACAGTATTTGATCAGTTGAAACAAAGAATTCTGAGGAAACAAAGCAGTAAAGTTATGCCAGCAGACACTAAATCATCTCCAGCAGTTCTTTCTGCCTTCTCAGCCTTTGTACTTGGAGCCATCTCAAAGAGCGTAGCAACCATCGTGACCTACCCAGCTATTAGGTAGGTTGCACAAAACCTTAGAAATTCACTTCATCAAAGAAACATATGGTAGTAATTTTCACTACTAGATACTAATAAATTTCTTTTCTACACCTATGAATTGGTGAACAGGTGTAAAGTTATGATTCAATCTGCTGATACTGAAGATGAATCCAACAAGGATACACAATCTAAAACCCCCAAGACAATGGTGGGTGCCTTATCTTCTATATGGGGAAAAGAAGGGTTTCCTGGCGTATTCAAAGGTCTGCAGGCTCAGATTCTGAAAACTGTTTTGAGCTCTGCCTTATTGCTGATGATAAAGGAGAAGATCTCAAAGTATACGTGGATTTCCATGCTTGCTCTCAGAAGGTTTCTATTGATTTCACAGAAGAAAATAATGAGTCATTAGATGCAATATCTAAGTATTTGTCACAATATCATGGATGCAATATTGAACTCCACATGTGGATTTACATTCTCGAAGAAATGGATGTTGAAAATGAGGCAGCTAAATTGTTCTGCCATTTCAATTTAATTAGGAGTGGCTCTTTTTACCCAAACAACAACCTCCTCCAATGAAGGTTTATATAAATAAACCACAGGATGCTTGTTGGCTGTAATTATCCTGAATGTGCTATCAACTTTCGTCAATAAATCAAGCATGGGTCACGATTCTGTGTTGTTCCAGTTTCCCTAATGATGATATAGCATTAGATTTTCTGTCTTCATTTCTAGTAATACTAGTGTTAATGTGTGATATAATTCTGGTTTAATCATCATTAGATAAGTGAGCTCTGGGACATGAATTGTCATATAAAACTTTCATATTAAGTTGAGGCATGTTTTCTGTTTTCTTAAACTTGGCATAATTTCTGTGTAAAAGCAAGCTTGGGTATTGTTTAACAAATAGAAGATTAAGTAGATTTTAAACATGAATGAATCTATTAATGACAAACCCTTCACATGATGCTTCTTTATGTTGTTTTTACTTTAGCATCTATTGCAATTTGTTTTGTTATTGAATATCCAACATACCAAAAGAAAACACATAATTTTCATTAGGAAGTAGAAGTCTGAATATGACGGAGATTTACTTATTGTATTGTGGTATTAACTCTCACATTCCAAGTTTCTGTTGCATGTCTATATTCTTTATCCATTCTTTGCAGAAGTTATTTAGACCATGGCTTGCTATGGGGGATACTGAACTCTATAAAGACCAGCTTGCTGATTTCTGCAACAATAGGAGCAGCAGCAAGAGGTAATTCAGGAATTAAATGCAGATGAGCTAGCCACTGATTTAATATGCAGTGAAAGGTTATAAGTTTTCTGCAGTCGAATACCATAATTGCAATTTGATGCTTTTTTTCTGCAAATTAACCAGGTTGATTCAGTGGTTCCTTAAAGCTATAAAAGTTTGAAGAGGGTTGAGTACCTTGGACTAATGTGCGTATGTTCTTCCACTGTTAACTTTTACCTTCTCTGTCATGGCAAAATATTTTATTGGTATTGAACTATCTGAGCTTTGGATTTGAGGTCATGAAGGAGTTGCAAGTCTCTGAATCTTGGCAGTGCATTTGCCAGACTTTATGCTTCACTGAAACAAAATTTTCCAGCTAAAACTAAATCCTGTGCTTGTTCTTAGAAAGGTTAAGCTAGTCTGTTCTGCTTGATATGCTCAAGAGACTACACTTGGATTGATGAATTGGTGAGAACTGTAGGAGCCACAAAGGATAAGGTTTTCTTGCTGCTGCTACTGTTCTTCTGCTAATTCAATCTGTTTATTGATTTCAAGTTCTCACTGTTTATACTTGCACTCTGGTTCCTTTTGCAGAATGAAAAATGGAGATTGGATAGAGGAAAAGAAAGAACATAAAAGAGAGAGAGAGAGAGAGAGAGAGGATTCTCTTAGAGCAATTGGTGTTCTTCATCAGAAGCTTTGTCAGTCATCTCCAACATGGATGGAATTCAAACACTTGTCACCATCATTGGCTCTCTCAGGTCAAAAAGTACACTATTGACAGCGTGTGCTTCACGTTCTGCACATGGAACAGCTTCCATTCACCATCTCCATTTCTGGTCCCATTACAGCTTTAAAGAACTCAACATGATTCTGCCAAACTCACCGGCCACCACATTGCTTTGCTTGGCTTCCATCCCCAAGATTTCACCCCTACCAGTCATGATTCCTGTAATTTGACTTCTTCTTGAGATAGATAGTTTCGAACAACAAGCAAGACTGGTCAAATACGTGTGACAGCCGCCTTGGATGAGGTTCCTCTTAGACTTATATTTATGTAACTCAACAGTAGTGATTTCTTTTACATTTAGATTGGATTTTTTTGGGATATAATTTTTGTACTAATTTAAAATGATTTATTAATAATAATAATAATAATAATATTATTATTATTATTATTATTTCTCTATCATATTGGACGGTGTACGGGAGAACACACGTTTGAATTAGTTTGTTGGAATATGAGATTGTGTGAATCCGAGACTCTGACTTTGTCAGATACGTACAGACTCGACACTCCACCAACAATTATTAATTTCCGTAAATTAAATGAAAACTAATATATATATATATATATATATTGGAAATTTGGTACCGCTGAAGCTATCGAGCTTCTCATCCACAATCCCCACCACAAGCAGAGCATCTCGAGCCCAAGCCATGGCCTTCCGTGCCGTAACCTGCCCCCGCTCCTCCCTGCCCATCCCCCGCCGCATCCGGCCCTCCGCCGCCGCCGGAGGCGGCAGACCAGAGTCCACCGCAGTGCAGTTTGCCTCGCTCGCCGCGGTGTTCCGCCGACGGCTCCTCACGGGCATCGGCTCCGCCTCGCTCGTCGCTCTTGGCGCCAACTTCGGCGGCGTCACTAGCTTCCTCCTTGGCCTCTCCCCAGAGCTCGGGCGGTCGCTGAGGCTCGACGTCCTCTACCCCGTCCAGGGTTTCACCCGCTGCCTCGACTCCTCCAATGGATTCGGTAAGACTGCTCTTCCCCTCTGATGCCTTGCTAGATCTGAAAGCTTATATGGCTTCGCTGACAATTTCTGGCTTTACACCGAGAAATGTGCAGAGTTCATATATCCAGAGAGTTGGGTCGGAGACCAGACGGTGCTCTACAGAGCTGCAGGCAAAGCAGAGTCCGAGAGACCTCTGGACCCGCCGCCTCTCGTCAATGGCCGGCCATCCTCTCGACCGCCGCGCGGCGTCAGCGAGCCGGTAGCTGCTTTCGGGCCTCCAGGATCCAACGGCGAGCTCAACGTCAGCGTCATCGTCTCCGACGTCCCTCGTGACTTCGCGTACGTCCTCGCTTCTTGCTGCGTTCGTCGTTCAGACAGAAAGCACAAGCTGATCGTCGAGTGAATTCTGATGTAACAGGATCGAGGACTTCGGTGGGCCGAAGGAGGTGGGCGAGACGGTGTTGAGGAGGATTGCTGGATCCAGAAGAGGATCCGATGTAAGTGCGGCACTGGTGGATGCAACAGTGAGGGAGGATCCTTCGAAGAACGTGAACTACTACAGGCTGGAGTTCAGAGTGGAAGGACCTTCGTTTCGCCGACACAACGTCGCCGTCTGCTGCGCTCGCCGCGGCAAGCTGTTCACTCTCAACGCTCAGGCACCGGAGTCGGTCTGGCCGAGAGTGAAGCAGGAGTTCTACAGGATTGCGGACTCCTTCAATCTCACTGAAGCATAGAAGAATTACGTCGAACACTTGATGCTGACCTCCGGGGTATCAAACCCATCGAGCTCTTTGTACATGAATTAGTCATTGCTCAATGATTCCTATGGGAAATTTGGTGCTGTGGTGGATGGTTTTACTCCAACATCGCTTGTGCAATCTGAAAGCCTCCATTTTTGGGATTGTGAAGATACTTTGGACGAAGACAATGATTCCTCCCCGTTGGACTGATACAAGAGTAGCTTGTAGACTTTTGGGCCATTGAGTCCACTCGAGGCCTTTCCTGAATCATGTTTGGGAGCATAGAATTTGATTGTCCCAACTGAAGTAAATATTTGGATTCATAAGACCGACTTCCTACGAGGCTAAGTCGGGAGGGCATTCTCGACTACGACCCCTATGACGATCAAATTAGTGTTTAAGCTTAAAATAGTCGGACTAAACAGAAATTCAATTTTTTGAACTGAACAACTAACGACTTGAGTAGTGGATTAACGTCTTATCTAGCACGTTTAATGCCCATAACGCTTAGGTGCGCTAATTAGTCGACTCATATGCCCGATTGGACACGTGATGTTTGATATGACTTTGGCATGTCTTAGGTTCAGATTTTTGGTTGATTGGACATGTGGTGGCCGATCCAACTCCCATGCCCCAATGGATCAAATCGCTGAAGTGGCACTCGGATCAATCACCACCAATTTATGGGCCCAAGCCTTGGTGGTGGTACGGTGGTGTTTGATATGGATGTCTATGATAGCTAGTCATATGTTGACACATGTTGCCATGTGTTGACATACAGTGCCTACTCAATTGCCATGTCATTATTATCTATCACTAGCCCTCCTCCCACGGAGTCGAGAGGTTATAAATCTATTGAGTTAGAAGCATACTCAATAATGAATGTGAGGCATCTTTGGTTTGGTAGCAAGAACATCATCGAAAGACTTGCTCGACCCATAGATCATACACTATTGAATCGTGGGTTGTGGGCTACGCATCATCGAAATACACATTTGGCTCATGGGTCGCACATTATCGAAATACACTTTTGGCTCGTGGGCTACGCATCATTGAAATATGTGTTTGGCCCGTGAGCTACGCAATGTTGTATTCTAACAACTCGATCGTTCGACCATTCGACCTAGGTCGACACACTCTCCAATCAATCATGGTCAGTATATGATAATGTGGATGTGGTTGGCACATGCTATCGTTTCGAGTATGGTTAGCACGGTTGGAACATTAGTTATTTGATAGTTTGGACGGGGGCTATGACATTCGTCTGATTCGCGTGATGGGATGCGCTAATGTGACAACTTGCATGTGTCATCCTTGCCTTAATCTTTGACAAGCGCATTGTTTTGGGTGTCCGTTGAATTTGGTTGAATCATAACTTTCTTGATTCGCTTGACCTAGATGCCATATGTCATTCAGCCCGACAACCATGCGAGGGTTGCATGTGCCTTTGAGGATTCAAAAGATCATAATGTTTTAAAGCTTGGTTCGACCAATGTCATTTCACCATGTGTCTTATCAACCAGCAAAGCTATTATGCGAAAGGTCACTTGGGCACTATAAATAACCCCCTAGATCATTTGTGCCTTCACGCCTTTGGACATTCCCGGAGAATTCGGACTCTCAAACTTTCTAGATTTCAAAACTTTCTGCTTTTTTATTCAATAAGATTCAAATGTCTTCCTCATCAAGCTTCTTATCAACATTCAACTGTGAATCAGGTGGTTCTTTAGTTCTGTCACTACCTTCAATATTAATTTTTATAACTTCTTCCTCAAGTGAAGGAGTCAGAGTTGTTGCTATGATAGGGGATGCCTCTTATGAGGCAAGCCCCTTGGGTGATCAAACCTTGAAGATTATGCTTAGGTCATAGGACTTTGACTCTTGAATCTTAGAGGCAGACTTGATAAATATCAAGGAGGCTTTTGATATTCCTATAGAGTTTAAGCTAGTAGCTTCTCATCTTAGTGACCAACTATA